AATTAGTGTTATCCAGGGGTTCTGCTATTATATGGCCTCTGCCTTCAGGCTGATTTCTGTTCCCCAAGTCCAGCAAAAGAGCTGGGAATCATCTTATTCCAGATGACATCCCACAATTTTGTGTAGATGTAGAATAGCATGGGGACAAGATGTAGTAACCCTGTGGGACATTGTCAATCAGTGGCCTAGCTACTGAAAAATGGTCCCAGCATCACCTTTTGGACAGAGCCTGAAAGGAGGGACCAGAACTGCTGCCAAAGAATGTCCCCAATCCCATCAGGCAGTCCAGAAGGAACATACAGTCAAATTACCAGATACCGCTAAGATCCGTGAGAACTGCTGGGTCTGCGCTCTTAGCATCTACCAGAGAATTCAGCTGGTGAAGCAGGAGCCAGTGGCTCCAGTAGTGGAGAGAAAAGGAATATCAACAGCAAGGTGCCTTCACAGCCTGTGAGGAGAATGGCCAGATACCACGCACCCAAGCTTTGCAGTTGAAGCTAGCGTGAAGTCAAATGTAAGGAGAGCCTGAGGAGTGGAATGATTTCCCTGTGAAGAGGAGAGAGCTGCTAGACACAAGTTTTAGCCCCCGGTATTGCCAGAATAGCCTCCAGGATTTGGGTGAGGCCAGTAGGTTCATTTAAGGCATCCATCTATCTAGCAGGTTTCTGAAAAATTTGAGAGTTTCTGCACAGGATGAAGTTCTGCAAGGGCCCCAAGTGGCTGTGTCTGCACTGGTGCTAATGCTTGTTAAATCTCTTGAGTTGGGTTAGGTCAAACTTGCACGTGTCTTGTCAAAAAGGATCAGATGCATGTTAGCTGGTCTTGCAAGCACAGCATCTTAATGCTTTTAACTGAGGCCAGATGCATGAGCTTGAGGGTGTGGCAGGGTCAAAAGACTACCTGGAACCTGGTTAATAACAAAGGCAAAATATCCCTGGGTAGTCTGGAGGGTGAGGGGGCAAGGATGGTTTATGAACAGTATTGTGTGCCACTCCTTGGGTTTAGGGTGCTTTGGAGTGTGTGGAGGGGGCTTCAGTTAAGTCTTTGGATTGCAGAAATAACCAGCGAGGGAAGAGGAAACTGCAGCAAGGCCATGGCAGTGCATGGTAAGGCTGACCCGCAGGATGGGACTTCTGGAGCTTCGTGACAAACCGAGAGACTTAAAAGAAGAGAGGCAGTGTTGCAGCCACCTGTGAATCTAAAGTGAGTAACTGGGGGCCAGTCCTGCACCTTTGCACTGCTGGCTCAGAAGGCCTCTCCTGGTCTCATTGGACATTCTCTGGGATGCAGATGGAGCATAAAACTGCCTATGGGCAGGGATTCTGGAGGGCACCAGGCACCAAGGGAGGTGTCTGGGATGTTTTAAACACAGACACCCCTTTGCTACACAGCAAACAGATGATGCCCCTCTCCTTTCCTCTCCTCTGCTCTCCTGCCAGTTTTCAGGCAGATGGAATAAGGAGAGAGCAAGGGGGGCAACTGTAGGTTTCCCTGTCCTCAAAGGCATTCCTGTGGGGGGAGGAGGAGGAGGAGGAGTGCTGCCCCTACAGGCGTTGCAGGCATGGCGATGGTGCTGTGTTTGTGTCAATAGGTGGCACAGAGAAGCAGGCTAGGTCTACGCTCAGTGCTCTGATGGGTGGGCACTCAGAATGATTACTAGCCTGACAAAACAAGCTTTCTTTCAGTCCTTTTTGTTGAGGGGGGAAGGGTTGTGGGGGCTGATCTCCGATATTATATGATTAAGTTTGGATTGGATGGTGGGAAAGGAGGCGTTAATTTGTAAACTGTATTTCCAAGGATACCAAGTTCAGACTTTTATCAGATGATCAGGAACGTTGTCTGCCATTTATGGTATTTTATTGCTCTTGTAACTGTAGAAAATGTGAGTCAGTCTTAAAGAATATTTATTGAGTTTCTGTTCATCCATGATGTTAGGCATTTTCAAAATGCATTTTTTCTGTTTTTACTTGGAACAATCTTTAGAACCCAGTTGAACTAAACCATTTCATATTTACAGGAACATGTTGCTGGCCCTTTAACATGTGCTTTAAAATGAGCTCTGAAAGGTAAGATTGTGTTGTAATATTGCAATAAATTGTTCAAATGAATACTGAGGCTGTAATAACTTCACAAAGTTTGTGCTTGGCAGTTAATGCCTCCCAGTTTTTAATACCGGGAAGTTTGGGTTATGCCCTTTCCCAAAAAGAATAAACATTTCAGTGTCTTCATCTGTTGATTTGAGGCCTTTATTCTCTGACTTTCGGTCAGAAACGCTTTCTGAGTGCCATAAGGGGTGTTCATGAAATTAAAAAAAGTTTTATTTTGAATCTGGAATTAATTCTGTTAGTTATCCAGAACTGTTTGGGGTCAACCTCAGTTCAGCAGATCCAGAACTTGGGACACTCTTCTGAGTTTTGGATGAAACAAAACCTGGATGGGGTGAATAGAGCAAGAATGGTATGTGTTGCAAGAACCACCTCTCTTCAGGTGCAGTGTTATATATCACCTACCTGCCCTCTTGATCTGTCTAGTGCCTTCTGGCCCTCCTGACAGTCACACGCACACACAAATCCATACGCCCATTTCTCCTGCTCTTCTGCCCACCTGAAGCACTGCTGAGCATTTCAGTCTGTGCCCAGAACAATTATGAGAGAGCCAGTGTGGTGGGGTGGTTAATTGTGGAACTGAGCAGGAAGGTTCTAGTCCACCCAGTCAGCCAGTGGCTGATGTGGGGCCATGCACTCTCTCTCTGCCCAACCTATCCTACAGTTGTTATATAAAGGAATTGGAGGTATGTTACATATGCCATGTTAGACTCCCAAAGGAAAGGTAGTATGTGACTTAAGCAGCCTGATGTTGTTGCATGCAGAGACCAAAACAGTTGAAACACACCTGTATCAGGCTGGGCACCCAGGGCACAGGAGCAGCTGTTTGTGCCTGGAACAGTTTGCACCTCCCTGGTATAAACCCATTTCCTGCATTCTACAGTAGAGCGATTGCCTATTAAAGAAAAAGAGTAGGGAAGGAGAAGGAGGTAAAGGAGGTGTTCTGGCCCTTATCATGGAGATACTTCTTGTATCTCATTGCTCCATTTTATTTTTCTGTGTTTTATCTTGCTTTCCTGATGACTTAGACATATTTATATGCAGCTCTATTCAAGCTGTGTACGTAACGTTTCTGGTCATTGGCCGTAATGAAGATGTTCTGTTTTGAGCCTTAGGGAGCTCCCTGCCTGTGCAGGACTCCACTATTATGGTGTCACTGGCAGATAGCGCTCAGCTTTCCTTTCAATATGCTTTGGCATGTCATTGTCCTTCCTCAAATGTAATGTCTGGAATTAAATCCGGTATTCTAGAGTGGTCTGGCCAGCGTGAATAAAGCTTTCTCTCAAAGCGAACAGCTTCATTTATAATGATTCCGCCAAGTTTTGTTCCTGTGCAGTGATTATCCTACCTGGGCCTTGCCATTGTGAAGAAGGAAATCCTGGGCCAAGTGGGCGGTGGCAGTGGCTGCCACGAACATGGCTGGCTCAGATGGCACTGGGGGGCATGCTCACCACTAGTTTAGCCCTGTTACGACATAAATGTGGCTGCTGGGTCATTGTTATGCCAGGGCAGGCTGCCAGGGCCCGAATAGCTTCATCTGCTTGGCAACAGTCTTTCACCTTCATCCCTAAAATGTCTTTTGGCCGTGAGCCTGAGGGTTTCCAGAAGGAGGTTTTCCAAGCAGCCCCTTGACAAGCTCATCCACGGGGGGTTCCTGTGCCTAAGTTCCCAGGAGTCCTTTCTCAGTGTGCGGTTTGGTGTTTTGATGCACAGTGCTCTATGGAGGGGTATAGGCTGCACCCTTAATAAGCAAGTCTGAATGTTTTTTGTTCTTTTTTTTATGGCTGGCACCGTTCCATGTGCAGTCACAAATTTAGTAATGCCCACACTAAAGCGTTTTACAGGAACCGGGAGGAAGGGGCTCTGCAACCCGGAAGGGGAGCACTAAACTGAATCCTGCAGGGGAGAGGAGAGAGCGCAAAAGGCGATGGGCCGCCTCGTTCAAGGATTGGGTGGGATACCCAGGACAAGGAGATGGTCAGTAATGAGGAAGCAAAGACAAGATAGGCCAGGTTGGGAGGTCCCAAAGGTGGGAAGGGTCTTTTTCCCCTACCATATTCCTTGGAAAGTTTAATTGAGGTTTGCACAGAAATTATGCTTATTTGTTAAAATAGGGATTGCCAGCCTGGTTCTGAATCTCAGTAGTATTGGGTATGTTATTTCCTGTTCTGATTTGGGAAACACCACAAGGTTTAAATATAACCCCTGAACTTGCAATTAAAGAACAAGGTGGAGGAAGATGTAGAAAAGCCCAGCACTGCCTGTTGATGGATGATAACCCTACTGATTTTGCATTATGGCCTCTCCCTGGTGACCATATTAAAAGATTTTTACAGCAAAGAAACTCTGGAGCACGTTGAACTGAGTATGCATACACAGTAGAATTTGCATACGACCAAGAGAGATTGATTTTGAAGAATGGGGTCATTTAAAATCTTGGTAAAAGCAGGCAAGCTGTGTTTAAAAAAAACAAACCAACTTTAACCCTGACTTATCACCGTTCTTTTCAAGAAACAGTGGTGAATCTTCCAGACAGCTTGCTCATTCTTATTGCATAAATCATCCCCCTAATAGGATACTGGCAGCGTTACTTCTGAACTACAAGGGTCTGGTCTTGCGAGCAGGCAAAAGCCCAGAAGGGCAATGGGAGATCTGCAAGTTGTCTCAGAGCCTGCTTCCCTGCGGGGAATCCGGACCCCAGGACTTCCAGTCCAAAAGCTGAGCAGGGGGAAACTAGGCTGGAAGAAAAAATCCCAGAAAAGAGCTGTGGCAGACTCTTATGTGCTCTTCTGTAACGTCAAGAAAATAATCCAGGTACTGTAAATATATGTCAGCAGGAGTCATGCTGAAGTAAAAGGAGACAATGCTGAAGTAAAAGGAGAGAGTTCATTTCTGCTTCTTTATCTCAACATTTGGTCAAATTAAAAACTGCTGCTTAACAGCTAGGAAATCTTCAGGAGCTTTGGCTGAAATGCAGCTGGCTGTGTCAGACTTTTGCCAAGGCTTCTCCACCTTCCAAAATGTGATTTCTCATTCATTAAACGATTTTGAATTTATCAGGGTCAGCTTTCCTAGGCTTTATTACGGTAAGACTCAGGAAGGTCATTGGACAAGCAGTGCTATGCTTGCAGAAATTCATTATTTTTTTTAAGATGGAACAGGATTTGAATATGTTAATTCATTTCAAGATGTGAAAACTACTGTTTTCTAGGAAGGATGCTAAAGCTGCACCTTAGGGGTGGTCTTTGCACCCCAGCCAGATGCTGCCAGGAACCGATCAGGAAGGGTTGCTACATCTCAAAGTTGAGAACTCGGCTGGTCAGACTCTGACCTCAGCCTGGAGTCCGGCGTGTCCTGCCTTCCTACTTGTGGAACAAGGACAAGAGCAACCTACTTGAGATCGCATTACAAAAACATTTGCTGCAATTTAAGCTGCTAGAGATTGAAAGCTGGCTTCCTTCAAAGGTGAACCTGCTGTTAATTCCAAATGCTGAAAGAAATTTGCCCTTGAGGCTAGCGGGAGAGTGCAATAACGCAACACGATGCCAAAGAGCTGTGTTAAAAGTCGAAGCTGCCAAAAAAAGCTGAGCATTCCTGTCCCCTCCAAGTTTTCTTTCCGTTTTTGTCTGTTGTCTTCATATCCCAATAGCAGTTCCAAAGTTGGATTCTGACGCTGTCAAAGGAGCCTGGAGAATTGGCCTTAGGACTTCTTGTGGTTGCAAGTGGCACAGATGGCAAAACTCCTCCCTTAAAAATGCAACTTTTGTAGCCCTGCTGGGTTTGGGGGAGAAGGGGTAGCGCAGAGTCAAGTATTGCCCTGTTAGTAGGAGATCTGCTTGCTGAAACGTGGGATCTGTCCCAGCTGTTTTCTGAAGGGGAGGTTGACTTTTATCTTTGCCATGGCCAAACGCAGCATAGCCAGCTCTGCTCACTTACCCTCCCTTGGAGGAAACCTGACCACAGGAAAGGAGGTCAGCGTGGTCATCTCTTTTTAAATACTTGTCAAGTCTACCACTCTCTGCAGTTGAGATTTGAAACGGGGGTCTGTGGTCAGCCTGGAGGCAAAAAGCCATCGGTTTTCTCCTTCCAGTGCAAAACGGCCCTTGCTCTGAGCAAGTAATATCTGTCAGAGAAATGGGGACAGGTAAGTCTCAGGTGACTTCTATTTAGGGCATGGTGATGAAAGTCAATGGGCTGGACTGGTACCAAGATGGAGGTTGACCCCATCTCCTGAAGTGTGCTAAGGAATCAGAATATTTCAGTTCACGGCTGGGAACGAAGCTAAGAGAATTACCTACACTTGGGCTTCATCACAGAATATGCTTAACCAGGTTGTTGAATTAGGCTTATTTTGGGGCCTATATAATACACTGAATTTCAGTTAACTAAAGGAGCTGAGTTCGCAACACTGAGTTCCACATATTGTAAAAACATAGCTGTTTAAACACAGCCTGGGAGTTGGCAGCATATGTCCCACAAAATAAGTCCAAACCCTTTTTTCAATTGTCTCCCCCAGCAAAGGAACTGTACCAGCAGCCATGTTGGTTAAGCAGAAGACAGGGAAACAATTTATTTACATCAGGTGGACGTTTCGCCCCTCCTTGCCCCAGCTATGGTGATGCATCCATCAGTTCAACAGAAAGACTTTGCTTTTCTTCCTCATCCCTCCCCTCCCCTCCCCCAAGTTCTCTCCTGCTCACAAAGTTGTCCTCTGCTGCCCACCCAAAGGCCTGAGACCAAGATGAGGGGTGAGGTGGGGGAGCTGCTGTCGTTGGCCGTTGTCCTCTGGCATCCCGGGTGCCCCTAGGAATATTTGGTGTTTGAAATTTTCTTCCACAACAGAGTCTTGAGGCTGTTCAGCACCAGTGAGTGATGGACCTCCATCTGGCTTGCGAGGCCACTGAGCGTGGTGCACGTTTTCAGCTGTTTCTGCAGCTCCTCTTTCAAGTCACTTGGGGCCCCGTGCAACAGGTATTCCTGGAGGAGGCTGCATACCTTTGCTAGGTTGGGCTGGACCACGTCACTCTTGCACTGTTTCATGAGCTTATCGCACGGCGCCACACAGTCCTTCCCGTAGGTGCAGTCTGTGTTTTGCTCACAGTGACGCCCCTTAAGGAACCCCTGGATGGTCATCTCTGTGGCCACTGTCCTGAGATCCACCATCTTGAAGTCATATTTGTTATTGTAGCCCATGTTTGTGAAGCCGGTCTCGCAGATGTAGAAGTTGCCGTAGGTCCCATGGAAGATCTCCTCCACAAATTCCAGAAGTCCAATAGCGATTCTGGCTCGCCGTGGCCAGGCGGGGGAGAACCACTGGTGGATGACTCTGAGGACAGCAGAAGGCAACAGTGGCTGCAGGAACGGAGGAACATCCATGGTGTAGAGGGAGGTGTGGTGGATCTTCTCCGTGAGATAGAGATCGCCACAGTGCCCCAACAGCCTGGGCGTGTGCTCCTTCTCGTGCAGAGAGAAGGTCAGCAGGAAATCATTCAGCTGGAGAAGGGCCCAGATGGATTTTGCTTCAGCCAGAGAAAGCTTCCCATCCCGACTTACGTCGGCCATGGCAATAATCTGGTTCACTAAGTTTGTGAGGGAGACTTGATCCCCAAGACCAGCCTGCAAAAACAGAGAACAAGCTGCGTCCAACCCAATAAATCCTATGAGGACTTAACATGCAATGGGACATACAACATGGTAAAGCAAGGAGGAACAACTGTTGGTGGCTGGGGGATACTTTGAATGTTGACAGCAAATGTAGGGCAGACTCACAAAATGGCCACCATCGGCAACCCTTCCATTTACAAAATGGTCATAAAGGTGAAATGAAGGTGAACTCTCCCCTGGGTACTCTCGTGCACCCAGTGGGATTTTTGTAGGATCCAGATGATGGCTTTCTTTGCAACAGACAAGCTTCCTGCTTTGTTATCTTTCCATTAAGAATTTCTTTTAAAAAGTCACCTACAGCAAAAGCTGGGTACCCCCCAACTGGACGATCGCAATGTGCTCGATGTGGGGCTGCCCTTGAAAAGCATTTGGAAGCTGCAGCTGGTCCAGAGCACAGCAGCATAGGCAGTGGCGGGCGCACCTTGGTCTGCCCCTGTAATTGCACTGCCACGTGAGCTGCGCTGGCTCCCAGGCAGCTTCTGAGTGCCGTTCAAGGTGCTGATTGTCCCCTTTGAAAGCCTTCGGGGCCAGGTGACTTGTAGCACCTCTTATCCCAGATGGTTTCTGCCTGCCCTCCTAGATGCCGGGTGGACATCCTCCAGTGAGGAGGAGGAGGAGGTGAAGCAGAGTTGCCTGGTGGACCTCGGAAGCATGCCTTCTCTTTCACGGTGCCCATCTTATGGAACAGCCTCCCCCAGCAATATGGATGGCTCCGACCCCACTGGCCTTCAGGAAAATGGGGAAGACTGGTTTTTCCCCAGGTGCTGGGGCCAGGATGCCAACAGAGCTGGCACAGGGTGGCTGGTGGATGGATGTAAGTTTTTATTGGGGCCTCCACACAGCTCATTGTTTTACATTGTTGTTTTTAATGTGTTGTGGTTTTAGTTTATTCACCGCCCGGAGTTCCTTTTGGGAGATGGGTGGCTGTCTAAATTTGTTTAATAAATAAGGGAAACCAGCCTGAGCCCAGATGGCCACCGCCAGCTGTGCGGGCTGGTAAGATGGCCAATGGGGGTGGGCAGTTGGGGTCCAGCCTTCCTACCAAGGATTCCCAGAAGGCCAACAGCTCCTCCGTTTTTAGGGCAATCTCTGGATTCAGATTGCAAGCAAGAATCCCAGCCCCAGCCGGTCTCTCAATGCTCTGGATTCTCTTTTCAGAGTAATCAGCGGTTCAGAAGCCTGGGAATAAATGAGCGCCTGTCAGCACCAGCCGACGGGCTGTATTAGCACAACCTGCTTAACCCTCAATTCATCCTAAGACCGTTCCTGTGCTCACCCGCACAGCCCCTATTCTGGCTTAACATGTTGCCCTGGTTCATACCACTAGTACCATCAGAAATTATCCCACCCTATTTGAGCTCAGTCAGGCACTTTGTGTGAACCTAGCCAGAGGAGCAGTTTCTCCACAACTGAAGCACTGTTTGAGAGTGGAACCGATGACCCAAAGAGGTGGGGTTCCCTCTGCTGGATGTGTCCACACACAGGTTGGACTGCCACCTGTTTCATCTGGATTCCTGCTCTGGGCAGGGGCTGGACTGGACGGCCTCAAGGATCTTTTCCAACTTTTTATGATTCTATAAACCAGTGTTGTCCAAACTTGGCCGCTTTAAGATGAGTGGACTTCAACTCCCAGAATTCCCCAGCCAGCCATTCCCCAGCCCTCCCAATTCTGGGAGTTGAAGTCCACTCATCTTAAAGCAGCCAGGTTTGGACAACACTGCTATAAACACTTACCAGACATGCAAGACTGCATGACACGTGTTAGCTATCTAGATTAGTTGGCCGCCTCATGTCTCAAGAGCTTTTAAATGTTTTGTTAAATAATAAAATGAGTCATGTGCAACACACACAGAGTTTGGTTTTACACAACATGCTTAATCGTGTCAGTTTAAAAACAGTACTTGCTGCATTTTCAAATCAATACTTGCTTAGTTTTAACTTAGGTTACATTTTTTGAGCCTCAAGAGCGTTATTAAACTAGCCCCTTTTTTTAAAGTGATTTTCTTCAATTAATTGTTGGAAACCACAAACTGGGCTAATTCAGTAATCAAGTATGTGGTATGATCCCAACCACTCTATTCTCACTACAGGTAAGCCCCAGTTTAAGAACGAGTTCCATTCCTAAGGTCTGTCCTTAAGTCGAATTTGCACGTAAGCCGAAACAGTATTATTGCATAATACTGTATAAACAGTATTGTGTATTTAACTCAAATCATTGTGCATTTAACTCAAATTTTGCTACAGTAGGCTCCATTCTTAACTGGATCGTCTGTAACCCAGGCATTCTTAACCCGTGTGTCTCATTTTTCCAGTTGAAATTAATGGCACATAAAATAGGAATTTATTCATTTAAGAAACTTGTACGGCTGCCCATCTTTTGTACCATGATTCTGGGCAACTCACAACAACACAAACAGATGCACATACAGTGGTACCTCGGGATACGAACTCGCCTCGACTTACGAACCGGATCCGCGGCCATTTTC